GAGTGCGTGTGAGTGTGTGATGTGTGTGGTATGTGTGAGTGTGAGAGTGCGTGTGAGTGTGCATGTGAGTGTGAGCGTGCGTGAGAGTGCGTGTGAGTGTGCATGTGTGCGAGTGAGCGCTGAAGTGTGGCTAAGGGGCGGCTGGGCTCCGTGCAGGACTGAGAGCCGAGAGCAGGGCCACTGCTCTGGGTCTGACCTCCTCTTCGTGACCCCCACCCAGACCCCCCAGCTCAGACACTTCCTGGCTCAAATACAGTCACCACCTTGGACGAGAGTGTCCGGAGCCCTGGAGACGGCATGGAAGAGGTGAGGCCACCTCCCTGACCCAGAACCCCAGGGCCCAGAGTAGTCAAGGCCCCTCCCTGGCCCCTGGTGACCCGACAAAGCTCCGGGCTCACGCCCTTCTTCTCTGCCATCTGTCCTCCCGCCCCCCCCCCCCCCCGGGCCTGGCACAAGTGGGTGTGGCTGGGGAGGCCCCAGCCAGAGCATGCGGAGCACGTGGGCAGGGGGAAGAGGACACCTGGGCAGACCCGTGGTGTCAACGCCACCAGCCTCGCCCCATGTGTGTCCACTCTGCGTGTCCCTGTGTGGTGCTAAGCCCAGCCCGGGATGCAGGGCACGGTGATGGGTGGGCAGGCAAGTCTGTGTGGCCCCCAGCCTATGCCCCCCACTCCTCTCAGGGTCTCGCAGGCCCAGTGGTGCAGAGCGCCGGTGCACAGCCTGTTCCCGGGCCACAGGGACCCCCGGGACCCCAAGGGCCACCAGGAAAGGATGGCACCCCCGGAAGGGACGGTGAGCCAGTGAGTACATGTCTCCCCTCGGTTCAGCTGGGGCAGGGGGCTCGGCTGGAGGGGGAGAGGGTGTGGCAGAGCAGCTGGGCCCTGGGGACCCTGGAGACCCCAGGACGGCATGTCCTCCGCTGGCCACTCCCCTCCTGTGGGAAAGCTGGAGGGTATCGGGCAGGCGGCAGGCAGAGCCAGCTCAGGCCAGCCCACTGCGGACGACGGTGGTCAGACATTAGCTGGAAGGTTCGCAAATCCACAGACAGCCCTCCTGCGGGAGTCAGGCCTGCAGAGGGCCTTGGAGTCTCGGCCCCGTTTTCATGTCAGATTGTGGTGGGGGTGGAACCCAAAATTCCATCACTAACGGTTTCTCCTGCACGTTTCAGGGTGATCCTGGAGAAGATGGAAAACCCGTAAGTTTGCTCTTCTCTCAGAGCCAGATGTTTTCTGTGACATTTGTGTAAGACTCTCAGGACTTCTTCATCCTGTGACACTTAAAGCAACACAACGAAGAGATTTCACAATGAAGCCATTCTGAAAGTGCAGCCTAACTATTGTTAAGAAAATACAAATCTAACTATTGATAGAAAAAAGGCTAACTACCATAAAAAAAAAAGGAAAGAACTAAAAAGTACAGCTTCCAGATTTTTAGAAGAGAAACACACATAACAGAGAAATAAATAGCAAGGCCACCGTGGGGCACGGGCACAGCACAGCACGAGGGACGGAAGACACATTTGCAGGTGACAGTGCAGATGTTTTAGCCGTCACAGTAGATGTGAGAGTTTCTATCTTAAAACACTTAGTTTGCAATTTTAGAAATGCTATTTCCAAGAAGCACAATAAAATGACACAAAAACTGTAGATTCTGGGAAACAACAGACCAGCAAATGGTCAGAGAAGGCAGGGAGACGCGTTGCACAATCAACCCTGGACACGAAAGACACAAATTTAAAAACATTCCGAACGAGAAGGGATGTTCTGTGTTGACACCCAAACGGCCCTTTAACTTCACAACTGACGGCAGAGCTTTGCAGTAAGACTGCGAAGGTGTGCGAGGAGTGTGAGCAGTGCTGTCGCGGGGGCTTTGAAGGAGCCGGCATGAGCGTGTGCGTGTGTGTGAGTGCATGTGCGTGTGCGAGCATGTCCGTGAGCGTGTGTGTGCAGCTCAGGATCCAGCTGACTCGAACAGCAGGCTCACTCTAACAGCGTGTTAACACTCCTTGTTCACAAACCCTGCACAGCCTGCTCCAAGTGCACATGGACATTCAAACACATTGACGGTCATTTAGGCCACAAGGGCCTGTTGCCCACTTGCCCGGGCTCTAACAAACACACGCACACGCACACGTAACAGGCAAAGCCCCGCTGTCTGGTGAGGTCCCCCACAGAACGCTGCAGTCTCTCCCAGGTGCTCTGTGGGGCTGCGGACATTCAGGGCACAAAGCCACACGCCTGGTGCTTGGGGGGCGATGGCACAGAGGCACAGAGGTGCCTTCTCCTTGACCGGGCTGCCTGCCCTCTGTCTTCCAGGGTGACACTGGGCCGCAGGGCTTCCCGGGAACCCCAGGGGACGTGGGCCCCAAGGGCGAGAAGGTGAGCATGGACCTTGGCTGGGGCCGAGGGGAGGCGCGTTACTGCCTTAACTCCCCCAACCCCCATAGGCTGTGCTTCCTGGCCTGATGGGTGTTTTCTGTTCCAGGGGGACCCTGGGGTGGGGTCAAGAGGACCCCCAGGACCCCAAGGGCCTCCGGGGCCACCAGGACCATCCTTCAGACCTGACAAGCTGGTGAGTCCGTCCTTTTTCTCCCTGGAGGTCTGCCTGCTGTCCTAGAGGAGGGGTTCCTGTCCCCTGCTTGGTTTCTCAGTGCCTCGCCCCTCAAATCCGTAACCGGCCTCCCCAGGTGTCCTGGCCCAGGGAAGTCAGCTCCTACGTGTGGGGCTCACCAGGGCCCAGGTGTGGTCTCAGGGGTACCAGAGCTCACCGGGCCGTCTGGGCCTCAGACGGGCCTCTTTCACTCGGTGGGGAGCCCGTGTTTGCTCCCTCTTTGCTTCTTGTTGTAAATGTCTTGACTTGTTAAAGACGGGGCAGTGCTCAGGGGACAGCGCTGTGCAGGGGCAGGCGGGCAGGTGGCCGGATTTGGGCCCTGGGTGACGTGTCTCTGGGCTCGCTCCCTCAGACCTTTATCGACATGGAAGGGTCCGGATTCGGCGGTGACCTGGAGAGCCTCCGAGTGAGTGTCCCTCAGCCTGGTAGCTGCTGCCCTGCCATGTCCGTGCACAAGTGGACCCCGTGGGGATGGTGGGGGCCTGGTTGGGGTGGGGTCGCCCCTCGGCAGGTGCTGCCTGCTTCCTGTTTTTCCCTATCCAGGGCCCAAGAGGCTTCCCCGGCCCCCCAGGACCCCCCGGCGTCCCCGGCCTCCCCGGAGAGCCAGGCCGCTTTGGGGTGAACAGCTCGGTCGTCTCAGGACCTGCGGGCCTTCCCGGAGTGCCCGGGCGGGATGGGCGCCCTGGGGTCCCCGGCCCCCCGGTAAGTCCAGCTCCTGGGCTGCCCTTGTCCCCGTCAGGGTTGGCTGGGAGTGGGGTGAACACCAGGGTGGGGTTCTCTTCCTGTCTGGGCACAAGGCCCCTCACCAATCTGCTCCACGGCCCATACCACCACTCCCTGAATCTTCGAAGTGGGGCCTCCCACCCCTGGGCCCCCAAGGTGGGGTAGATCTGACCCCCTGGGTGACCACACGCAGTGCCGCTCATCTCTCTGGCCTTCGTGGGCCAGCTCACCTCACAGAAGCCGTCGCTGGGAGTGATGCTCATGGGGCGAGGGTGGGCTCCCCTGCCCGAGCACCTGGGGCTGTGAGGCGCCCGCCTTTGGCCAACTCACACTATTCATGGGGACCTCAGAGCCTGGCCGACCCCCTACCCCCAGCACTGGGGACACAGTACCCTGGGGGGTGCCCACAAATGTCACGGTTGTAAACAGGGACCAGGTGTGCCTAGCCTGGTTTCCACTCGACATGCGCACATCACAAGCGCGTGGGGCCACGATGTAGACAGCTTGCTGTTCCGCCCTAGTGAGAGTCCTCCCGACATCACGGGTGAGGCAGCCCTTTTCATCCTATCCCGAATTTGGTCAGCAACTCAAAACAAACAAGCAAAAGAAATAAATTCAGAAATTTAAAAACTGAGCAGAGGGCAGCCTGAGGACTCTGACCCGTGTTACTGTGGGGCTCCCCTGTAGCCACCGGACTCTGTGTCGTGGCCTCAATTCTCAGGAGCTCTGTGGAGCCCAGGCCACCGGCTAACCCCCACTCTTTCTCAGTGGCTGAATTCACTGCGGCCCACACTCTGCTTTCTCTCCCCCCAGGGACCCCCAGGTGCTCCAGGAAAAGACGGACGACCAGGAGAGGACGGCCAGAAAGGCAGCCTCGTAAGTCACTCCCTGGGCGTCCAGGGTGGGTGTGACCTAGAGCCGCACAGCGTGGCCAGGGGGACCAAACCCTGGATGTGTGGGGTGAGGCCATGGTGACCTCGTGGTGGAGAAATGCCTCCAGGTGACGCAGCGCTGTGGGTGGCTTCACTTCAATGCACAGCCGCCGTCCGCTGCCGCCATCACAGTGCAACAGCGGGGGCCCCAGGCTTCCGAAGTTTGCTTAGCGCCACCACTAGCTGGGGCTCTTGTAAAAACTCAGGACCTCATTGTCACTGCGTCTTCATGACAGTTGGACTAGTGGTTTTGTGAAAAATATTGACACTTCACTTGATTTGGAAATTTCATTTCAAGTTTCAATTCTGGTTCCATTGATAACGGAGACACTTGTGAGGCTGCATAAACTAACCGTTGCCGTGGTTTCTGGCAATGAAACGGGGGTAGGGGTGGAGATGCCGACCTGCAGCCATTTGGAGACACTTCATGTGGCATCTTCCTAAGCACCTGGCTGCTTTGCACTAAGCCGAGGGGACGCAGTTTAAGCGAACCCCCTGTGCCCGATGCGCTCACTTTGGCAGCAACTGGGCTGGAAGGGCTCTCGTCCCGGGAAGTATCTGCAGCTCAGCACAGTCTGGGGGCGGGGGGCGCCGCGGGTCAGTCCTGCCCCCCATGCCGAGCTCCCCCTCACACGAGGCGATGGCGGAATAGCCAGAGGTGCACCAGGGCCAAGAGGGACACTTGGGGTTTCAGACGCATGTCTTCTGGGAGCAGTTCCCAGGACCGGAAAAAAGGGAAATCAAAAGCACTTAAATCTGCGTACGTGGGAAACCGGCCTCCTGGGCTGGAATGAATGAGGGCTGCGCTGTGTGCTTTTCTCTTGCTGGCTGCACACTGGCCTGATTTGTAGTAATTGTTCTCTCTTCCCTGCAGGGCAAAGGGGGTGCCCCAGGACCTAAGGTACAGATGTCTTCCAGGTCGGGACTGGCCCCTGGGAGGAAGTGCATCCCTGAGGGCACTGGGGGTGGGTCAGGGGGCTGTGGGAGCTGTCCATGGCGCTGGTCGTGGGGTCCGGCCATGAGCCCCAGCGCTGGCCGAGGGGCTGGGAACCGCCCTGGAGGCAGGCATCACGCTTGACCTGCTTGGTCCGGAGTGGGTCCGCGATGCTCTCACATAAGGGAGGCCACTCTGGTAGGGGCCTCACTGCTGTGCCCGTGCCACCCCCCACAGTCAGCCCTGAGGTCCCCTTGAGGATCCCGCCCCTCTGTGGGCCAGACCTGATGGGCCTAACCTGAAACTTCCCCAGCTCGCCCAAGGGGCCATCACCGGGGAAGCTGCCCAACGTGAGGAGGGGGGTGGCGTCGGAACAGTGGGTTACAGGTCAGAAGGAGCCGCAGAGTAGATGCGTGTGCGCAGACACGTGCGTGTGTAGGCATGTGCACACACGGCTGCAGGCCTTGAGTGAGGAGAGGCTGCGGCTGGGATTAGAGGTGAGCGTGCAGCCTGAGACCAGATCCCGGCCTGTGGGTAGCTGCACTTAGGACCGAGGACCCTGAACACCCACATGAGATGTTCAGATGCGAAGATAACAGAAAAACCCTCGAGTAGCGTGAATGACTGTTCTAGATCTTGCAAGCTGAGTGGGAAATGGGGTGGGGGGTGGTGTGGGGGCGAGCATCAGACTACACAGAGGTTTCAAAGAACAGCCTTTTCAGTGGGAATTTTTTAAAGATCAAAAATTAGATGAGAGTTTTAAATAGGATAAAAAGATGAGGCAACAGAATTGGAGATTTCAATAAAATTAGCCCTTAGGTAAAGTGGGTGGTAAAAAGTAAAAAATGTTAAATATCTGTTAAAATAAAAACAGATGTTGAGTGGGGCTGAGACGTAGCAGGACAAGCTCCGAAGAGGTGGTGACGGACGGGCGCAGACAGGCGAGGCTGGGCTGGGGTTCAGGTCCCGGGAGCCCGTCGGGCCCCTGCAGAGGAAGTGATGAGGGGACCCCTCCTCACTGGGGGGGGGCACGGAGGAAGTGGAGCTGGACAGGGAGCACGGGGAGGGGGTCTGGGAGGATCCTGGAGGCCAGCCCGTGGCCGGCACTGCCCGGCCGTGAGAAGGTGGCCAGGGGCCTCACTCGTGCCAGTGCTGTGGGCCAGTGGGCTTGGCGTGTCCCTCATCTCCGTTTATAGTTGAGGAAACTGAGGCTGAGGGGTTCGGTGGCCATAAGGGGCGGGGCTGTGCCCAGCTGGGGACTCGGCATGAGGGCCCCTGCCTCGCGTCCCGGTGTCCCCACCCTGCTCCCCTGACTGGCCCTTGGGACCCTCGAGCTCTGAGTGGCAAGTTTGCATCTGAGACTTGAGCCCCACGTCCCATGTGCCTCCCCGCTCTGGCTGCGCCCTGAGGCCGTGCCTTGTGTCCCCGCCCCCAGCCCCAACCTCTGCAGTGGTTTTGGCGTCCCAG